AATGTGAGACCCTAGGGTCATAAACCTTAAGACCCTTCCATCTATGAAGAGTATTTGATTCTACCATATCTGGGTCTTGAGAAGAAGATTTTTGAAATTTCAGTCAATTTGACCCTTTTTGGTCCCACCCATCAGCCCCTGGGGGTCAGTCAGGGCTCATATGTGCATACCATCATACTGCTACCCAATACTGCTAATGCTAACCTAAATTGAATTACCTCCAATGGCAATTAAACAAATGTTGGTCCAAAATGTGATTTTCCTAAATAAACTATAGTAAAGTTTACCCCCTTCCCAGGGGGAAACGTGGGACCCAAGGGTCAAGAAATTCACAATTTTGGTAAAGCACCTTAAGACCCTTCCATCTATGAAGAGTATTTGATTCTACCATATCTGGGTCTTAAGAAGAAGATTTTTGAAATTTTAGTCAATTTTACCCTTTTTGGCCCCGCACCTCAGGCCCCTGGGGGCTGAGGACCAAACCGGCAACTATTTTTTTTGACCTTTGGCCATGGAAGGTTTCTGCAAAATTTCATTGAAATTGGTTCAGGGGTTTTGGAGGTTTTTGGTACCGTTTTCCGTTTTGTATTTAAGCGCTCTTTTGACACGGACTGTGTTTTAAGATGGCTTCCCTACACACAGTGCTTGCATTAAAGTTTAATAAATGTGATCACGCCGGCGACAAAAGTTTGATGGCAGCGGTCCCTGCAACTAATTTAATGGCAGAAGTTTTTGAAACATACCAATCGGACCAATCAAACACAAAAGCAAATTGCCTCACTATTCTAGCGCTTTTGAAGTCAGGAGCGGCCTTTCACTGCCCGAAGTTAACGTTAGTAACTTTGGAGTTAACTATCTCACTTTCGAGTGCCCTGGAATTGAAGACGATTGGTGACATCACAAGGTGAGTTTGTTTGAATTAATTTTGATTTTGTGAAAGTTTTGAAAGTCTCGTTTAGTACAATATCTTCTAGGGTTAATTTATACATACTGTGAATGTGACTATAAGGAGACTCCTGCCAGATATGAACTACTGGGTGTAGGTGCGGCTGTGACAGCTATAGTATTCAATATATTTTAATATCGGGAAAAATATTTATTTACCTGCTCAATGGATCTACGTGTAGCTATATCATTCAAAATATATAGGATAAAATATTAAAACAGGAACACATATTTCATTGTGTTATAACTTATAAATAAATGAAGTCAAAAGTTAATTTTTGTTCTTAATGTTATGCTCTTTTTTTGCAGTAAAGCAGCGGATGAAGCAACCTCAAAGGCCATCAATGCCAAATAACTTTTTTGTTGTAATAAATAGTTACTGTTAATAATATTTTGATAATATTTGTATTAAACAAGTATCACTGGCAAATCTGTCTTTTTTAATATCTTCTACAATGTAGTTTCGTTGGTGATGTCTGCATTATCTTTTTGTTTTGGTGTTCAATTTCATGTATAATCAAAATGTAAAAAAAATGTAAAAAAAATAAAAATCCCCACCCCCGGGGTACCCAAATTTTTCCAGGATGTAACAGGAAACAAACATATTTTTTTGTAAGGCCTAATAATAATTTTAGATACAGAACTGGTTTATTTGTTTGTTTGTTTGATTTTGTTTAACGTCCTATTAACAGAACTGGTTTAAGTCAATGACTGAGTTTACAAAATGTAAGACTTTTGCTTTCAACAGACTCCTTGGGGAGTTGGTTGTGAAGTGGAAAAAGGGCTTTTCAAGTCATTGTCAGGACTGCCCCGAAATAAATGGTTCTAGGCTTAAGTGTAGATAATGTGTCGGAAGTTTTATGAGTGAATCTGAAAATAAAATATGCAAATTACTGTCCAAAACGGTGCCCACTGATAATATGACAGGGCGATTCCAGTATAATATCCCTTAAACATTGCAAGTTGGGTGGCAAAAAATATACTTTCAAAAGACGCTTTCAAAAATTCAAAATAAAAGTGCTGATCAAGATATATGAACCTTACCTTTGGAAGTCAATCCAACAGCAGCTTGCTTCATAAATCAAATGATGGTGATAGTCCATCCTTATGATGTCAGCAATTACCATGATAGCACAGCAACATAGCCGATGTCTTAATGTTGAGTTGTCCGAAATCATCATTAACAAGGGTCCAACACATGAACCCAACTTTCATACTTCATGCACCAGTTACATACTGACAATTATATATCCTTCGTTTTTATATCGTAAACTACTCATACAATTTCGATTACATATCGCCACGGGGCACAGCTTACTGGAAGCAAGGCTTATGTTTTTGTTACAACTTCAATGCATATTGCACACAAAATTACAACAGAAAACTAAGTTTCACACCATCGACAGCAAATTTACAGAAGGCATTTTTTTTATGAAATTTTAATACTTTTTGGCATTTGAAAAAGAAAATAAGATGAATTTCAACAAATTTCACAGACCCATTTTATATTCAAATTTAGAAATATTTCATGAATATGCAGAAATCATCACTAATGGTGATGGTTTAAAAATAAAATAAAAAGAAATTCAAAGACTTTGTGGGGTACTCATCAAACTTTCATCACTTTTAATTTTACATGTTATTTGTCTAAATACAAAGGACTCAACTCTTTTACGGGCCAGGAGACACATTTGAACTCAGAATGAAATTTCAGGGGTGAATTAATTAAAGCCTTACCAAACCCTGTGTAAGTTGTGCCCTCTGCCAAAATAAAACTTATTACATAGGGTTGTTCAGAGCCTGATAAGGTTGACACGTCATTAACAAAAATGTTCAAATTGTTAGATTTCAGAATTTTCTAAATATTGACAAATATTTTTGTGTTTGTCTATGGATGATCTTTCTGGATCCCCATACATGCAGGTTTAGTTCTGAATTTCAATAATTTTGAAAATAAATATACAAAGATGAAAGATGATCTCATCATTAAACTTATAAGGCTTTGAACAGATAACATTGAATCAAATCTTTGATGATTTGTAACAAAACAATTTCAAAACTTAACACTTTACTTTTGCTGATCCAAATTTTTAAAGGAATTACTTTTACATGTTGAAAGCTGTTTTTGTGTAAATATCATAAATTTCCTTTTGTAAAACATTTCATTTATTTGTGAATACCTAACAACATAGCTGAAAATTGACAAAAACTTGAGATCAGCAAAGTTAAAGAATTTTAACCATATAAAAATCCAGTAGTCAACACTAACAAGTCCTGACAGAGGTCAGATTAAGGGAAACATGCCCTTACTTTGTAGTCCGTTGTCTCTCTGTCATTACTTTTATAATGGTTGTAAGCCAATTCCTCTTCTGTTTACTTGAATCACATTCTCGACAATCTTCACAGCAGTCTTCTGAATGTTCTACTGGAATGTCTTCACTAAACACTGTTGTTATACAGCAGGAACGTCTCTACTCAACAACACCGTGTTCACTTTTGTTGTCGAAACTTCTCCGCTCTTCTTCTCCAAACATCTGGTAAATAGAAACATGGTCCTATCTTTTTTCATTAAATTCCTACTATGTTATTCAATAACACAACATCAACTCTGTGCTGTTTTAATTGCTTTGGACCTGATGCAACATGTATTAGAAATTACTTACATGATGCAAAACAAAATCAGAGCTCATAATTTGACAGAAAGTTAGGATCCCTAGCGGTTAATGGTTTACCATCATGTTTATCTAACTGGAGTTCATCTTCCAAGTTAAAACAGATGCAAGGTATCACAATGTCTTTTAAAAGTTTTAAACTAAAGGTTAAATTAACACGATAACCAATCATCGAAAGGTTGTGAAACCCTTTTCTCCCTGTAACAATTGCACATGTTTAATAGGAAAACCATTTATTCAAATAATTGTCGATCCTCAAGAGCAAAATCAGCTCAAAAAAAAATCATTTCTCTACTTTAAAAGTCATAAAAATTCTCAATCTTTTGTCATTTTGCATAAAAATCTTTACTGCAGCTGCAAACAGACTTTTCTACCTTACCTTGTAACAGGTATGCAGGCTCATCCAGTCCAGAATTCATACAACAGCTCAGCAAAATCAGCTAGTCTGAAGTTTTTGAGTAAATGAATAAGTATAATTTGGTAAATGAAGATTTTCTAATAGAAAAAAAAAGAAAATATTTATCCTTCATATGCAAAACATTTATTTTGATTTACAAAATCTCTAGACTCAATTGACCAATCAAGATATAATATTATATACTTGATATATTTCACAAATTGGTATTCAGATTAAATGCCACTAGACATGCATTTAATTTACTATCCTTATGACTACTGAGTCTAATAATAAACTTGATCTGAAAAACTAGATGCAACCATCCAGTACCAAAATTATTTCTGCTGTTGAGAGAAACAGATTCACCCCATATTCAAAGATATGACTACTGTGAAATCAGATATTTTCATGGTTTCCCAGCTAAAAACCATTGCCTGGGTACATGAATTTGTGGATTCCGATTTGTTATTACTTCATGGACCTATGTATTTGTGGATGAAGTTTACCCACAATATCAACGAAAATTAAAAAACCCATGAAAATTAAGTGATTTCACAGTGTATCTGAAACTACTTTAATTTAATAAGAGATAGCAGATTTAAAGAATAGCTACATAAAATGCAGCACATGTTACCTTTTGATAAGGTGTTCTTCAAATCTTGTACCAATGCTTTGATATTAGCCCATCTATCTTCCTTGAAACTCTCATATCAATGGCTTGACTGCATTCAGCAAGGAATAAGTTAGTTGTTTTTCCAACCGCTATCCAGATTAGCCTAGAGATTTGATGAAGAAGGCACAGAAACGTGCAGGCAGAAAATAACTGACATTAAAGGAAAATCCATGATTCAGCAGAATAGCAGAGTTGCATCCTGATGAAGAATCGTATGACAATAGTTAGAGATTGAGATGATTTACGATGTAGCAGTGCTGGTTCCCAAGGTCCTGGACCCAGAAGGACCTGCAGTCAGTTCATTGGCTATTTCTTCTAAGTTGAGATTTTTCTCGTGTTTGTTGAGGTAGATTTTTGTGGTGGCTCCCTTGCAGATCTTCGAGTGTCGCTGTAAGTGGTACTTGGTATAGAATCGCTTCTGACACTTTGGACAGGCATGGTTTTTCTCCCCTGTGTGCATTAATAAATGTCGTTTGTAGTTCTGCAGTTTATAGAATATCTTGTTGCACTCTGTACACTGGTAAATCTTTTCCTTTGTGTGTTGATACTGATGCTGTTTGCGATCAGATTCACGTGCAAACTTCTTCACGCAATAACTACACTGCAGGTTTTTCTCTCCTGTGTGTATCAACATGTGAGTCTGCAGATGGATCTTCTGACGGAACTGATTGCCACACTGATTACAGGAAAACCTCTTCACATCTACAAAACGTAACGAGTAAATCTCTGTAATACTTCAACCTAAAAATCACAAATAGATCACATTTTAACAGGTAAGTAGCTACTTTGCCATACACATGCATTTTATCATCCTGGGCCATAAAGTAATGTGTGGACCTGGTATTCTCGACACAAAATCAACTTTGAACTTCGTAATCTGTGTACCTGTTAATCTTAAATGTTTTCACAACAACTGCTTTGATCTTGATGAACAAAGTATTCATATAGCATCGGTTTCTAGAATAAAACCTCCTATGATTGTGTAGAACAACAGTTAACTGTAGGTCTTCAGGGGATAAAATGTGTAAATATTTCATCAATCACCGGCAGCCATATTGAATTTGGAATCAAACTCAAAGTGGATCCCAACCAATCTTGAGTAGGTAATTGATGCCAGGGGTATGTGTAGAAAGTCCTATGAAAATTAAAGCATCCCATTCAAGAGTTATAGTACGGACCCCTTCATACTTTTCTCAAAATCAAAGTCAGCCATTGACAGCCATGTTGACTTTCAGATTTGGTTCAAAATCAAACTTGACCAGGAAATTTATACTATTGGTGCGTTTAACAATACTACAGGTGTTTAAAGGCAAATTCATGAAATCAAAGCATTCCTTTCAAGAGTTATCTCTCAAAAAAACAATTTGTGCTGTGATGATGCCGTCAGAGTGATACCTTATTTACCTTTGCTTTGCAGACAACACAATAAGTTTTCAAACTTAAAAATATTTTCCACATTTCAGTGTTGTCTATATTCCAAACCCCTAAATCTAAATAATTTTTGTTAATTGTAAATAACATCCACTATCATTTTTCCTTTAATGATTTAAATGAACATAATATCTGGACTTGATTGACTTACTTGTGTGTGTCAGTAGGTGTTGTCGGAGATTACTTTGGTCCGTGAACCGCTTCCCGCAGTATTGACAGGTGTGTGGCTTTATTCCCATATGAATATTCATGTGGTCATTGAGCTTAGCAGAGGAGGTGAATCCCTGCTCACACATGTTACAATTCCACTTCCTCTTCACAACGTCGGCATGTAGGAGTTTCTGGTGAGCCCGCAGGTTAAGGCGACCAACAAACACCTTACCACATACATAACACATTTTGATCTTCTTCGTTTCTGGACTGACTGGTATTCCTGTAACATAAAATATTGACTGAAATAACAGACACATCCCGAGATATATTACATGTCAAACTTTCACATATATTTAAAATCAGCACAATCATGTCTTTATATAACAGATTTATACCTACTTCAATAACATTTGCTGCCCTTAAGGATCGCTGTCCCACTGCACTGTGATATTTCCTACAAACAGTAACCTGTGCTTACCTTTGTTTGCATTTATCTGTAGCACAGCTGGGAATGGATACCAGTGTTGACTACGTAGCTCAAACGGTTAGAGCGATACTATGATAATCTGAAGAACAGGGTTTGAGTCACCGTTTAGCCCGGAGGACCTTTAAACAGGGAACACTGTTGTTTATAATCAATGTTCATTATTTTTCATTAAAGGTATGGTTTTCTTTTCAGGAATGATTTATCAAAGCTCTGTTGATACAGGAAAAGAACAGTTTCCAATACTTAGTAACAGTTATTGGCAGTTGTACGGGAATCCTTAAACAGGTACATTTTACTCAAATGTTTTCTTTAATTGGATAACAGCAACTGGAATTGAATTATAATTACTTCAAAAGGTTGATATCTTATGATTGGTTTGACTATGCTACAGATAGAACAAACAATTGGAATCACAAAGTACTGCATAACAGACATTTATATGTGGTTTTACTGTACAGCAAAGAGTCCTGGATCACCTAGATATACCCCCATCACCATCAGGAATATCAAAGTGATCAAATACGACCTATGACCCATTGACCTTGACCAATGACCACCAGATTCTGAGCAGGTGAAGAACTTCATGCTGTCATTCTATAGTGCAAATATAACCTAAATCTATTGAGAGGGGCGGATATCTTGTACATGAATATTTTACTTTATTATAGGCATGATCTATGACCAATAACCACTAAAATCTTGTTAAAATGAACATTTTACCACATTTTGGTACAAGTGTAAACTGAATCTGTGGAGGGATTCATACAACAGAGAGGGGCATAAAAAGAATATCTGCCCCAATTTTAATTTTCATCCCAGAACGTAACGCTTATTATACATGTTGGTAAAAATTGTGATAATGATTAACATGAAATGTTCGCTTTGTGTTAAATCATTGGTTTCCAAGGTAAGGGTGGAACAAGATATATTAATACAGGGAACATTTAAAAGAATTTTACAGACTACATGATATGTACTTCTTTCCACCTTTAAAAACAAGATGTCCAGAGGGCCTGTATCGTTCACCTGTTTCTTTTGTTACATAGGTAACTTAAGAATTATGGGATGGGATATTTATTTACCTAGAAACCGAGCGTAGTCCTTGGAGTACCAGAAGAGCAGTTCTTCACCAGGATACACATCTTTCGTGGTAAAGAAGTAAATATCTGAGCCCATCTGTGTGACGACCATGTTCTGGGATTCCTCTGTACGGGCCATCTGTACAAACTTTAGCCAGTTACACTCCTCTTCATCATCTAGGTCGTACTGGTCCACCTTATCACTGTAGATCACCTGTAATTCAGGTAGTGGTATCAACATTTAACATCTACACGCATCATTTAAGTCATGCATTGCTGTTAACACTCTACACACTGCTAAATATAACAAGAAAGCTCTTTATCAAGTCTTTTCGACCCAAGAGAACTGCAAATGAACAGAAAATAATCTGGAAAGACAAGTGTCTGTATAGACAGAATGACAACCAAATTAATTTTCACTGTTTGCCGAGAAATATTGGGTGGGGGATATAAAAATGAAGAAGAAATGGTTCTATGAAATGGTTCTATTTGAAAAATTGAATAATGATGACAATGATGATCACCTTGAACTCTGGGAGAGATCCAAGCTTCGACTCGCCAGGAGCAGAGGAGCTCACTTTTCCCACCAGAGGCCCAAATTTGCTTTTGGCTTTGATTGGCACCTTTGACCACACACCTGGAATTAAATCATACAGCTTATAAGTATAAATATAAACAACAATTATGAAACATGTTATTACAACTTATATTTAATCCTCTTGTTGGCCTGGACATTAGCGCACTGAGGGTCTTAATGTGGAAGGAAACCAGAGTACTTGAAGAAACTCCATGTGGTCGGGCAGGTGAACCAATACCTTTTCCTCGGTGAAAGGCGAGTGTGATACCCACTGCGCCACCCGACCACCCTTCGGCTTATAAGTAGATGACATTGGTCAGTATCTGATTAGCTTCAAGAAGACACATATCTTTCATTTTGTATAAAAAAAAAAATCAAATCTCAGAATTAAAATGGTACCTATAGGGATCCAAGAATAAGATGATTATCCATAGGACAAAGATGATAAATATTTGTTAATTTCAGAAATTTCAGAAAATTATTAGATATTTTAGAAATAAAATTTATTCTGAACATTTATGTCTACGACTCATTAAACATTAGACAATAAACAAATGGGCCATATGATAATTTTTCAGAAAGGAATACAAAAACTTACATATGTAAAGATTTCAATACTTTCAATGTAATATATATCTATATAAATTACCCATGACATTCTGTAGTATGGTTTCCGAAGACTTCAGGTATAGACAGGTTGGGAGTGAGGCCCGAGCTTTACTTGGTATGGGGCTGTCAGCTATGGCAGTGTACTCTGTGTCATGGATCAGGCAAGGGGAGGTCTCTGATGCTGCATTACACCCCACACAAACTACAAAACACAAATTGATATTCACAGCTGCTTACAAAATACACGAAAAAAAAACGAATTTTGTGATAACTTTATCGCCATTTTTCCTCACTTTTCAGGCCACAATTTGGTCCAATTTCTCATTTTGTTCTAAATTTGAAAAAGATCACAATTGCAGTTTTTCATGCTACTACAACTTATAGCTGCTATTCAACAGAATTTCTCACTTATCCTAAAGAAATTTCTAGCATGAAAGTTAATCTGCTGTAATCACTGCACAACTTTGACATTTTAAGTTTTGAAATAACAATTTACTTCTACTATTTAATCGACACTTATTCCCCCCACCCTTGCTGAGGCTACTTTGAAATAAACAATACAGATATTACAATTCATGAAGTTAATAATTCCTTAACGAACACATTTTTCACTCAAGAATTTTAATAATGAACACAGTTTATCAAGCCTACATTTCATGAACATTTCACTTAAGTTTAACTTATGAGTTAAAGAATGAACACCTTTTAAATCGGAATAAGTTAAAAATTGGATATTTTTGTATTTTCACCCTTTCTTTCTTTGGGTTGATGTTGGTGAAATTAGCAATTTTTCTACTTCAACAGTACTAACCTGATCATATGCACATTTAAAATTACCTGTTACAATGACAAATAATCAGGATACAATGCATATGAGACTCACAGGATACAAACACCTCTGGTATCGCCAGGCCAGCCCCTATTACTGGTTCAACAGGGATGCTGACTGCTACAGCGGGATTTTCATGAGGTGTGTTCGCATCCCGTCTCCCCGCTAACTTCAGGACCAGATCAACCACTGCAAAAATAGTGACATAAGATAAGTCACTGACATGGTTGGCAGTGATGTGAAAGACTTGTTCAATTCATATGATGATAAGATTTGTTGGCGTCATTTGTGGCGTTAAAAAGGTTTAAATGATCTTCATGCAACAATATGGTCCTCTTCTTAACATTCAAAAGGCATTGAAGGAGTTTATAATGAAAATACCAAAAGGAAAGTTGGACCAAAAGGTGCCCTATTGTGTCACCTAACTTCCATGATGAATGATGTTTATATCACTTTTAACCGTAATTATAAGAAGAAACAAGTTTTATCAGTATTTTTAGACTATAACTGGACGATTTTCAGTTTGAATCATTTTTCATCAGTTTCTCTTTTCCTTTCAGATTGATCTCAACAACATGTCAAGAGCTTGTTTTTGAAATTACATTTATCAGCAAAATAAGATTTTGACATAGATGCATCATTCCTTAATTGAATGCGGCTGAAATGTCAATAAATGCTCACAATGACTAGGACATTGAGGGTTGGCTCCTGTTGTTGGCAGCTGGATCAGCCCACTTTGGTTAGTAATAGCACTTGAGATGGCCTCAATCTGACTGGCCAAGCTAGCAGCAACTGTTGAAGGGTCCTGGTTTGCGATTTCTTCTCGGATTGGTATATAAGCAGCTGTGGCCAGGTTTGCCTGCATGTGCAGGTAATCCTGAGGGCTATAGCCAACTACAACACCAGAAAACAATATCATCAATTTTCTGTATTTCATTGCATATACAGTAAACCTCCGGTCAGATCGAACAAAATTAAATAATCATTATCAATCCTGTTAGAAATTACAGAAATTAATAGTCGCTTAATAAAAGGTTCAAATTTGAATTGTTTACCTGGCGTGTGCACATGTTTAGAAGAATGAAACAATCATCGCTAATAAGTGGCAAAGTTATGTACAAATAATTGACCACCATGGTCGCACATCATGAGTAGTACCCATTACTCAATAATTACTGTCAATGTGAAAATTATCAGTTTCAGGGCTCACCCTGGACCTAAAAAATCAGTAGCCACATGTGAATTTCAGTAGCCATTTTTTTTTTAAACAATGGCCTCCAACTGTTACGGATGGGCCCTCCATTAAAATCATTCAATAGTTCATATTTTTTAAAATGGAAATACCATCCAACATGATGTTAAAAGGAGTACTCTGTTAAATTAAAATTTTGTCATACATCATGTTTGTAATTTATTCCATGATGTGATATTTTTTTAAATACTTTCAGATTATTGGCTGTAATAATAAGAAATATAACTTCAATTAAAATGCTGAAAATTTACACCAGATTTTTAAAATTCTGTTCAAAAGAGAGAATAATCAGACTTGATCTCATTTTCTTGACACAGGAATTGTGAAAAAAATGTATGTTGAAAAGTTTTAATTTTACAATACTATTCGCCTTTAATTGCAGGCTTAGATAGTCTAATGCCTTCAATCCAAAAATAAAAAAATATCAAAATCAAAAGTAGCCTCAGTGATGTAATATTAATAATTATTTTCCTGCGTCTACATTCACCGTAATTCATGTTTTATATAAAAAATATATACATGTATATATTTTAAAGATCACACATTTGAAAGGAAAAGGACGAATGGTATTAGCCACCCCTTTAAAAAAAAACGGGAGTACATCACGTTGCACAACATGGCCATTCCCGTGTCGTCGATTGGCACCTAATATAAGCATCATTCTGAAGGGTTTGCTGTTCTAAAAACTGCATAACTGCAATGCTAAATAATTTTCTCTATCACTTGTAATTCTAAAACGTCTAACCACAAAATCTCACAAATACGATCTTGTTTGAAGTCATCTGAAAGACCGAAAATCAGCATTATGACATGGTGTTTCAAGGCAATACTAACTTTCTTAATTAAGCATATCAGACGTATTTATTCTTGTTACTGTACTGGAAAAAGGTAAATGAAGACCATGTACACTAATTAAAATATACTTAATCAGGTGTCGCTTTTACAGTCCCTTTATCATACTGAAGCATAAACATTGCAGAGGAATCCAAATATTTCAAAGACATCTCAGACTTCATTCACATATATTCAATTCCTATCTTCTATTTGAGATCTTCACTTTCACTTATTTTTTTAAAAAGGCCAGCACTAACACTGTACTGACCAAGCATAAATTAATTTGATTTAAATTTCAAAATTTAGTAAGGTACATTTAATTGGAATTCCTTTGTGATGAGAATCCTAAATGTGATGAGAAATCAGAGCTAAACTTTATTTGTAAGGACAAAAAAATATATTACTTGTGTTTCCGCTATCATCCTCAGGTAAAGTATGGTAGGTAGTTCGGTGATTGCTTTTATTTTGGAAAATATTTTTACTTTGCTTATATAGTGCAGGAGTTTAGGATAGACACAAAAATCTATGGTAGGTAGGGTTAGTGGAAACTTGAGATTTTTTAATTTGGCCTAACAAGACATACCAGTATCTGAAATGCAAAAATTGTCATTCGTCTTTCAGGGAATTACTGAATTTTATCAGTTACTCACCTACTGTCATCTCATTACCAATGGCTACATCGTTGCACTTTTGTTGAGCGAGACTTAAGTCTTCCATGTGGTGCTGTGACAACTGTGGTGCCTCCTGGTGTTGGGATGACAACTCGGTCCCATCTGTTTGATGCCCCAAAGATGTGCTCTGACACAATATTTGGTTCTGGATGCCTGACTGCAGTGTTGTGCTTTGTAGATCAGTGGTCATTTGGCACTGGTCACCGACAGACATCAAGGGTTCTCCTGCATGTTGTCCGTGTGCTTGAAGGGTATCAGCAGACTGGTGGGTGGACAGTTGGGAGGTCTGATTTGTCACATACTGACCACTGGCTAGGTCCTGATTGGCACACTGTTGGATGAATGTAGCATTAGACACCAGGGATTCCAGATGTGGGCTTATAAGATCTGATCTGGTGAACTCACCGCTACCAAGTTGAACTATTGCATCCTGTACAGACAAGTTTTGGAGGACTGCAGGAGCTTGTGAGGATGAGAGTGTAGACGATGGGTCAATAATATCAGACTGTCTGTTATCATTCTCCTGTTCAGAGGAACTAGTCAGAGTCTGTGCTTGAGATAACACTGGAGAATCTGTAGACGCCTGTACTATATTAGCAAGACTATTGAAGCAGGTGTTGGCAAGGGATAACCGATTCTGAATTGATACCAATTCATTTGAATTTTGCAGTTTTAGGAAGGATGACAAATCAAATGAAGGCCTGGCTGATGGTTTCTGTGTTGTATCTGACAAGCTATTTCCAGTTTCAGGATGAGCTGGACTGACCGTAGTGTAGTCCAAAATGGGTGTGGCCTGGGAGGAGTTAGTCAGGGGTGGTGCTGCTTGTGGGAAGATCTGCGACAGGGTTTGCAACCCACTCTGTTGGATCAACTGAAGAACTGGGGGCAAGACACCTGAAACATAGCATTACAATAATGCAATACAACACACTATATTTCCATGCATGTTACAGAAACAACTGTGGCAATGATAGCGGAAAACAGCGTACAGCTGTCTGATGTGCATTTTTCTTACTTGGTGCGAAATAAAATTAATTTCACATAGAATTAAAGCTAAGATCTGACAGTTGTATTTTATTTTTTTATGTGTTGTTCATTGTCATATTTAATTTGAGGTTCTCTGCTCAGCAAAAGGAACAAAGCCATGAAGATCAATATGTATACAATGATATTCCACTTGTTCATAAATAAATCATATATCGACATATTAAAGCCAATATATAATTGTTTGAAGTAAAATGTGAAAATTTGCTATTAAGGACATAACAGCAAGAATTCCTCAACACTTTTGCAGCATAATGTGAATATCTGAATATGCAGTAGAACAAGTTCTCATTTTTTTTACAATATAATCGTTTTATTTGGGGTGAAAAAGCTAAAAATGTATTCTAGTGTTACTTTTAAAGACACCACTCAGCAATAATCCAGCCCTTTCACCACTATAGACCATAATGGACTTATCCAGATCAATACATGGTCAAGTTTATTAAAATTACATAGGGGTGAAAGGGTCAATAATGCCAACATAGTTATAGGGCTATGAAGTAGCCTTTATATAATATGTAGAGGGTTTTTTTAGAGTAACAAAGCTATTTTGCCTCTCAGTTGTTTATTTGAGAAGAAACCAAACAATTAAATGATAATAAAATGATTATTAAATAGATCCTTTACACATGGAGCAAACACACAGAAGTTTTCACTAGCTTACATACTAAATATCTACAGGCCCAAGAATATCTCGGGCCCAGGATTTATTTTGCTCTCTTCATAAATATAAGGCAAAAAAAACCACAACACATTTGAATAATAATCTGAAGGAATTAGGGTGTCCTCCACACTAATGGGATTACGCTCGCTTACACTCTCTCCAACCCTGGAATATGTCATGACAAAATTGATGGAGACAAGACTAGTTTGATCCTTCGACGCACATCAAAAGAATCTGGCAGTAGTGTAATGGTAAAATCGACTGGCTTTGAAACCAGGTGTCACTCCTAGACTATGTAATCTTCAAGGACAGGTATCAGCCTAGTGATTGGTTAGGCTTTTTAAAATGAAACCAATCAAACAGCTAGCTGCATGCCTTCAATTTTGCTATAACATAATCTAGGGGTGCAGAGAGCATAAATGAGCATAACCAATTAAGTATCAAGGCGCAAATAAGGGTAGTAAGGTAGATAATGAGTTTTGTTTTCAGTATTTTTTTATCAGGTTCAAATTATATAGAAGAATAATCTTGGCTTTAACGGTGAAAATTGCCAAAAAAGTTTAGGAAGGCACAAAAAAAACAGAAACAACTTTGGTCTAAACAAAATAATCAACGCAAATAGAATTGATTACATATATATAATGTGTTTGTGATTTAATTACCCATCTTGGCATCTCCCTTGTCCTTTTCAGGAAGACTGAGCGACAACATTATTGGCATGCTCTGGAGTCCCATTCCCTGTGGGAGCGTCAGGGACGCAGAAATCTGGCCTCCTAAGGCTGAAATAGACATGTTACATTATTATTTAATACGTAATTATAAGCAGATAACTACACACATTTGAGAGAAAGAAGAAATCCACAAAGGCATTGACCAAGGCACAATATGTTTTGTAGATAACCAATTGTTTATGGTAAGAGGATCAGCTTATGCCCAATATTCTACCTATTTTATTGCAGGTTTGGGAACTACATCTAGTTTAAGGATCAAAGCATCATCACAACGATTTCCAGTTAAAGTGACGACATAAAATGTAATTAGCATCTTAATGTCAACACCATGACATGCTCAACACAAATTGTTACCCTTGTCTGTGTGTACATACATGTACACCACAAATCTTGTTTAAAGTGAAATGATATTTATATTTCACAATGGATTTCTATAAATCTAATATGTAATGACTTAAAATCACAGTTGCTTACACTTGTCTTTGTAAACTGGACCTAATGTACCGAAATATTGTATTTAGATGTGACAAAGACAAAATGAGGTGATGCCTCCAAAAACATTATGAACCCATTATGCAATCGATCTTCTATCGGTTTACTACTAACAATCACAAACCGATTATCAATTATGATTTTAAACTGATTGCCCATCACTACCCCTCACACTCTCAAAGACAGATTCCAATGGGTGGTTTATCTGTGTATTTCTATGATTGTGCATAAATATATTAACCTGACATGTCCAATGGGTTAGGCTCAGAATTTGGTGAAGTCATGACTAAGATGACTGATGATCCCACACAAGTAGACACCTACACTTCAACATCGAAGAATTTCATTGGCTTCATTGGAGGAAGCTGCAAAAATAAATGTGAATAAAGCAAATAGGGGAAGTTTTCTGACATTTCAAGTTACGTGCAACGTCTGCAACTCAATTCAGACAAGGCGGTTTTACAGGGCATTCTCCCTGCCACTTATATGTATGTAAGATATACATCATACCCATGTCATCTTAATTGAAGACTATTCTTAATCCTATTTAGATTTCTTAATCCTATTTAGAAAGTACATAAAAACTATTTTTTAGCTAAAAAGAGACAGTATATTGTCGCCATTATGAAATTTGATGTCACCTAACTAAGTTGTCATTTTGGCCAATAGAAGAATATCTACCTTTACCATCAAAATAGTGCAACTGACAGTACTAGTACTTCTTGCAAATGAATAATTATTATTAATACACAAGCTCTTAAAGAAGACTTCAATTTTCAAGCACAAATCTTGATCTGCTCTCTTCAAACTTGTCCTTGGATGGTTTCAATAATATTTAGAAAATATACTATATTTATTGTTGCATATACATCTTCAGCGTCAACTTATACAAACATTTCAAAAAAGAGGAAGGGAAGGTTTGAAAATCCTTCCCTCACAAGGACATCACATGCTATGGCAATGTATATCTACAAGTTAATGAGCTTTTATTCAATTTTGCACATCAGTGCTCAGGGGATTAGCAGGCACAAGCATATTGTCGGTCCTTATTTACAAACAATTAGTAGTGTACGTATATTCAGGTATGTTTTTTATTTCTCTCATCAACTGCCCTTGGGGGGAAATCTATTTTTAATAACAGCTGTTGCATTAATAACTAAGGATGTTTTGGCATGTTTCATCCCCACTTCGCTAGTTTGCGGTTTCATATATTGATCTTGGGGATGGCTAATAGAATGTCGATAATTTTACATCACTGTCATCAGTATTCTCCTCATCTGCAAGGATTTCATTCCATGGGCAACACTTTAATTAAATCACTTGACTGCAAAACTGAATACACAGAAGTAAAGCAGGCAATTTCTTTGATATAGCTAGGCAATAATTTTCTTAGAAATCCAACACAAATCTTGCCTAGCTATCATTATGGGAGATGAGAATTTTAGATTGTCACTGATCAGAAGGCCTTTAATATATAAGTACAGGTTAATTGTTCCAAGTTGTTCACAATACTTATTACAGAAGATATATTTGTAGCGGAACTTGGCTGGATGGAATGTCAGTGACCCAGGTAGCTCAATATTGGTAAGAGCCCCCGTCTAGAGTTTGAAACTTGATCTGGCTGTTGCATTTCTTTCTCCTGTTACATATATTTTATAAAAGCGTCCCGGCATCACAGCATTTAAATAGTACTATAAACATAAAAAGACGCCTACTTGTAAAATTATATATCTTCTATACACATAGCATGCGACATATCCCTCCGAGTCTCCCAAGGGCTTTTTCCAAAAACGATGATCAGATGATTACCAAAATATGCCTTGAAAACCAAGATGAGTATCTATTTAATTTCTCTGGGTTCAAACTTTAAAAAATATTGTCCAGTGTAATCAAATTATAACTTGATACTTAGGTCAAATATTGACATCTTGTAACTTCACAGTGTTGAGATGGGCCATTTGCAATTTGTTTATCCAAAACATTGAGCAAAATGGCCGCCATTACGCCCAGCACTGAAAATGATGCCCTTACTAGATTTATCATACTTATTTGATGAAATCATTGAAAAAAATAATCAAATATACACGTTACACTTTCCGCAATTAATATGTTAGGTATTTCTGAACGAATTATTAGATAATCTAAATAGCCGAGCAAGATTCACGCCAAGCTTTCATTTTAAAAAAAAGTGCAAATCCCGCCGCTTTTCTTCCTTTAAAATAAGATAAATGTTCAGTAAACTGACGTTAGCCTTACCCACACACTAACGTCTGTACCTTGCCATTGAAAGCATGCAAAGCATCTCTTTGTCGACATTAAATTTTGATTATTTGCAGCAAAACAACACGCACTGGCGTCTGGCAGCACAAACTCGTGGGTTTCAAGTTTCATGCAAGGCCCGTTAGATTCCAATTTCCTATTTCCGGTTAGGCCTACCTTATCGCTTATTTTTGCCTGAACTAGCTGTTTATTCATAATATTTGCATATAGTTAAATGTATATGGGACTCAATTTTAAGTACATGTAGAGACATATAAAGCCATAGAATAATAGTATATACGTCTCTGGTACATATTATCACGAACTTAGATCTAATTCCGTGATATTATTAATATTTTCATTTTTTTTGTTATTTTTCTTAACCCTAATGGGAGTTATTGCCCTTGAGGTGAATTTCAGCCTTTCAAGTTGTGTCTTTTAAAGTGCTTATTTAAGAGGGGAAACTCTTTTTTTTTAATGAATTGGATTAAATGTTGCCTATCTATAACTTGCATGCATAGCAAAAACTGCTTCGAATCATTCGCGAAAATAATTATTTCAAGCTATAGGATGAAGGTATACAAAATGGAACGTTACCCAAAATGAAAAAATATCCCGGGAAACGGTACGGTGCGACAACATAAATATCCTATCATATTTGTAAACATGGAAAACTATATGGGAATAAATTACTAAAATTCTAGAAATGAAGACGATTATTTTAAATGCCGTCGGCTATTTTCATAAGCTGACTTATATGATGAAGTGTTCCATTTTGGGTACTCAGCTTAAAATATTAGACACACGCACTTGTTGATACCCAAGAAATACATAAAATGAAGGTTTAAGGCATGTTTTGTTTCATTACAGTCACATTTGGTCTTTCAGAAACGTTATAGAAAATATTAATATTTTTCTTAAAAATGTGTTCCATTCTTGTTACCCCGCTCACCATAACATTGACTTTGGCTGATTTAGATATTCGAGCGGCGATTGGCCTATGTCGATTTTTTGAAACTTTAAAAAAAATGCTATGTTAAAATGACATTATCGAATGTGTAAACACTCAATTCCTTAGAATTCGTTCTCGTTTAGAACGAACAGCGAAAATGCCAGAATCCACAATTTTGAAAACAAACAAACCTGTTTCTAAATTGTACTGGGTAATTTGTCATATTACATTAGATCCAAGTCAGTGATATTACTAAATACTTTTCCCGAAAAGCTTTTAGAAATTGCTCATCTAATCACCCAGTAGTTGTGGTGGATCGAAAGCACATTACTACACAATCATGGTATTATGGTAATGCAATATTTAAATAATAGTAAATTGATGTTGTTGAATATTTCATCATCCATTTTTTTCATCACTTAATTTAAGTGTTCACTAAAACTGCACGAGACGAGTGTTTTACCAGTATAACTCCTACTTGTAAGTGTATCGCTTAATCAACATATAACTCCAATGGTTCTTGATGTGGATTTATTTCGGACTAACCCGACTATAACGAACCCTACAACATGTTCAACTGCACCCAAATCATTGTACATTCACGACATATTTTCACTATACGTTGATACTATGACCCCTTCGCGTATCCGGTTCAATCAGTTGAAACGGTTCAACATGGAAAGAAAACGACAGGCGCAGATCTTCGGCACATACAGATTGAGGTAGACGTGTCTTACCGAAACTTCAATGATGACTATTGCTAGTTTGCGCTATTTCTTTAAACACAATATCCAACCAAATGCAGATTTTAAGATACGTTCTATAAATTAGTGGACGCGTGAATGTTATATCCCATATTATAACTGAGCACCAAGCAAAAATCGCATAAATGCATGTGGCAGTTAATAGAGCTAATGAAATATTCATTTATATTTCAACGCGATATTGTATTATGTAAACTTTGTGGTAAATCTACTGCTGATATTGTTTTTCATTTTCTGCTTGAGTGTCCGAAATTGTTCGAAACGCGTGACTTAATGATGGATGGTGTGGTGAATGCTTTAGAAGTTCCCTCCTATAGTTCATTTACAAATATAGAGGATGAAACCCAATGCAGTTTCTTATTAGGAGATCGTGTGAATATACTACTAGAAGACTACGAGTGGTAAATATGATGATCAATATGTCAATTAATCTAGAAAGAATGGTGAGTGAGATTGACACATTATTGTAACTCTCTTCCTTTTTTTTATTGATGAACGTTATCTTTATGTAATTTGAAATGTAAACATATATGTATGTATCTAATTGGATTTTAATTTTGATTTCAAAGAAAATTTAAACAAAACAAATTCCCAAATAGGTCATTTAAGGACCCCCCCCTCCCCCCCATGTGTGCAATAGGCATGCGTTTAGTGTATGCGCGTGTGTTTTGGCAGGCTGCGATATGTTCGTGTTTGTCTCCTTGTGATAGCGCGGAACTGATGCCGACTTTATAGTGCTACCTCACTGAAACATACTGCCGAAGACACCCAGCAGGACACCCCACCCGTTCACATTAAACGGACACCGGGCGAACCAGTCGTCCCACTCCTAAATTGCTGAGCGTTAAGCAGGAGTAGAAACTAACATTTTTACAGACTCTGGTATGTCTCGGCCAGGGGACAGAACCCAAAGCCTTCCTCACAGGGGCAAACGCTCAACGAAAGGCCAAAAGTGAGGCATTGTCAAGGGAGTTATTAAGAAGAGGGAAAGTTGCTTAGAAAGAAGAGAAAAGATAAGATCCCAAAATTAGTCGCCTCTTATGATGATGCAATTGGAGCAGCAGGTACAATTCTTACGCCCTACCTGCAGGGACTATTTTCTGTTATAATACAGATAATCATCATTGAAAAACTGACAGAAAAAAGGAAAAATGCTTAAACTACGTTGATGTTGCGCCATATAGTCTGGTTTTATTTGGTTTTGGTCTATACGGTTAGGTGTCTATTTAATGGGCACCATGGAAACCGTTAATATATATTCATAAAGCACACTTTTTTCAATTGTAGATATCTTTAATTCAATTGGTCTTAAATTTGAAAAAAAGGTTGAATTTTATTAAGATATGTTCCAATTCATTAGAAGATATTTTCAAATGATTTAAGATCTTTTTTCAATGGATACCTTAAAGTTCCATAATTTATCATAACATGGAGGTACCGTGGCAATTATAGGACTTTTTCTCAGCGATTTTCTTACGCTCTATCTTGCTTAACGATAAACATACCATCATTCCTAAAAAAACATCAGATCTAGTACGTAAAGGAAAACATTGAATCAATTTACACAGATTTTGGATCTTTTCTCAACGGCTTCAATCTGCACTGGTGAGAATTCGAAGAAAGCACAGTTCGCATGTCACGCTTATTGATATGGAGACACGGTAGTCTAGTGGTAGGGCGACGGGCTAGTGACCGAAGGGTTGCGGGTTCGAGTCACGGCACGGCACTGTGTTGTATTTTTGAGCAAGATCCTTTACTCCGCTTGTTCCAGTTTACTCATCTGTAAAATGAGTACGTGTTTGGGCAGTGCTAGAATTGTTGAATGCTGGCTGTGAGCGCCAAAATGGCAGCACCGGCTGTATGCTTCCTAGGGAGTTGAAACAGATATTGACTGGTTGCAAAGGCCATATATCCACGGATAATAATTTGTGGACCGCTTTGAGACGACCTACGACTAGATTGTGATACAGCGGTATATAAGTATTCTTAAAAAAAATCAGTGATTGGTCTAAAAAGTGGCTTGTTAACTTTAACCCTAACAAAACAGTGACAATGATTGTAAGTAAGACAAATAATAAGCCAATTCATCCCTCCTTACTTATGAATAATACCCTTCAACAGAAGTTCCCTGCCACAAACACTTAGGCGTCTTTATCTCAGCTAGCGGAAGGTAGACCGGCCATGTGCAATATTAGTCCGCTAAAACTAACCATAATCGCAGGCTCTAACATTCTTATCGGTCGCCTGTTTATGGTCAGCTATCTGTCGTCGAAACCTGACTCCAAGATGCGCCTAAATTAGCTACTTCAAGCTAACAGCGGTGTCGACGAAGAGGTAAACAGGAAAAGAGGGAAATACTAGAAACTCAAATAATTACTGTCATATCATCTGTAGAACCAAGCTCCTCTATTGACCTACGGAATGCACTTCCCGATAATATAAAGCCTAACCCGTCGATTACTTACCTCAAATATTTTATGAATGCTGAAAGCCAGCTTGTTCCACCTTATTATTACTACTGCAGTAGTAGATTCGGCAAAATCCGTCATGCACGATTAAGGATGAGCTGTAGCTCTCTCTTTAGTCATTTATGTATACGAAACCTAGTTGATAGTCCCATGTGTACCTGTAATCAGTCTGCTGAAACTACCGAACACTTCCTCCTCTTCTGTCCGAAATACCAACAATTTTAAGAGTACAATGCTTCAGAAGCCTTCCTCACGACTATAACGTAAACCTTCTACTGTACGGAAATCCTGATAGGCCAGTTAAATATAATGAGAATATCTTCGACTGTGTTCAATATTTCATCAACCAGTCGAAACGATTTTAAGTTTGAAAATCCAAATTTTGATTTTACGTATGTTTACATGTGGTACATAGTGATACTTTACTGGTACGGCCCCTGTATGTCACGACACGTCAGTATGGATATATATATACAAATTGTCATAGTCTTGATTGATGTTAGTTTAATATTTAAAATTACAGCTGGTTGTTGTACGCCACTGGATGTCGGAATACTCAGGGGTCGGCATGGAAAGTTGTCATGATATACAATTAATTTATTATATGTTGGCATTGACATGTACATTCATCGGTATGTGTCCATTTACAAAATATATACTTAAGCCAGTTTCCCTCCCATAATGCAGTCAATTTACTCCGCTATATACCCTACCCCAACAACCTTTTCTTTAAACCCTTTTGCACCTCTTTCCCTCCTTCCTCCCCGTCCTCTTTTTATCCAAGCAGGTAAGTATCCTTCGTAAACTTAAATATATGTTTAATAGACAAACTTTTTTCAAAATCTATAAATCGTACATTCTTCCCTTCTTAGAATATTGTATAATAGTTGCTGACGGGTACGCTCTCGGTGACGCAGACAAATTGGAAAAACTTCAGTTAGAGTCTGCTCGAATAATCACTGGATTACCTTCTTATGCTAGTAGAATTTCTTTATATTCTGAAAGTGGGTTAGAACCACTATCAAATTGACGTTCTAGGAGAAAACTACAGCTATTCTTCAAAATTAGTAACAAACTCACGCCCGGTTATCTAACTTCTTTACTGCCCTCTTTATTCTCAGAAAACTCACATTATCACCTCCGTGACGCAAATAATTACTCCATACCAAATTTCCGACTACAACTAACCAACTTATCATTTTTCCCATCTACGACTCGACTTTGGAACCAACTAGATCTTGAAATTAGAAATAGTGTTTCGTATCCAGTCTTTAATAAAATCTCTTCGAACCATGACAAAAGTTCCAAATTATTTCTTGATCGGAAATCGGAAATCCAATGTATTGCAAGCCAGACTGAGAAATAGATCTAATGCTTTACATGATGCTCTATTCCAATCTAATTTAATTGTCTACCGTCACTGTCAGTGCGGTCATCCCATTGAAGATTCATACCACTTCTTCTTTGTTTGTAATAATTCTGCGGACCAAAGAATAAAATTGTACCGTGAATTGAATGATTTCATCCCGCTAGACCTGCAGTTACTATTACATTGTAGTAATAATTTATCTTTAGAAGACAACATTAAAATGACAAAGCACCCAGCAATATATTTCAGACTCTAATATATTTTGATATCTCTTTATTATTTAAATAGATAAACGAATAGTAATAATGAAAATCAGATTGTTCAATCTTGTTTGATGCTGACGGCAGAAGAGAAACGGATATTCAAGAACGAATGGAACGACAAGGAGGAAGCAAACCAAGGCACGGGATGTGATGGACAATAGTTCAAGATGAAAGATTTTGAAAAGTGTATAGTGTAAACTTCTGCCGTCGGTGTCGAAAAAGATTGTCCTCATTTAAAAAAAAAATACTTAATCAAAGTCTCTCTCTCTCTCTCGTTTATTTTGTAAATATGATGTGTATATATGTCATCTTGTAACCTGTTATTGTTAAATTCTATTGGGAAAGGGCTTTATATAAGTCAGAAAATTTGTGCCCAATCCCAATGTATATTTTGATGTAAATGAAATATGTTTAAATCAAATCCTTTTCTCTTCCATATAATAATATCCAACCTATCTTATCTGTATATATATATACTATATCTTATCTATGGGTCAAAGAAGTAATATAGACGGTAAAATCCCATATAACACTGGATCCTAATGGAGGTATGTCCGTAGGATATCTTATCTATATATATGTATATGTATATGTATAATATAAGTCAGAGCCGTCCAATCGCCGTTTCACACAAAAAAGGAGATGGATTAACATAAGTACTTTGTACTTGTTTTCGAATCCTTTATGTATATCATGTTTGTATATCTGGAATATTATACCGTAAATAAAATAAAGTTTACACTAAATATTATTATAATTAATAAGATATTCGCCCGGTGTAGAAATATTTCGGGATAAGTTGTTTTTTAATCTCTGATGTAAACTGTTTGGAACGACGTAATGATATAACACGTAAACTATGCCATTAGTTTGTTTTTTTCAACATGTGACAATTCATCACAGAATAATATTTTTACGCGTAGCCTTGAAATATTACAAATAATAAACACGTGTATCCGTGTAGTGAGCATTATTACGGATGTACTTTTCATATAATTCCGTAGTATTCTCGTGAAAACTGAGTAAATACTTCAGATTGTCCTTACACATGTACTGGACACAATTAAATTAATATTCGACAATGTGTACATCTATGTAATGGAATTATTTAGTATATACACATGATAGCGTGTCCAGCCACAGGGACCTGAACATTTGTTACAGCTATATTTGTACCTAAACTAAGGTGTTCAGAGTAATTTTATAAAATCAATTATACCAAAAGTCGACCCAAATCTCTAAAACGTGTAAAATTACTCTGAACACCTCAGTTTAGGTCCAAATATAGCTGTAACAATTTATCAGGTCCCTGTGTGTCCAGCACCGTTTTGTGGTCCAGAATGATGGTATATACTTTTCTTATTCGCCTTATTTGATATTTCACACATCATCGAGTAGCTCATTGGACACAATCCTTGAAAAAAGAAATTTACTGAAAATATAAAAAGAAGTGCATTGTGTCAGTGAACTAACATGATAGAAGACTGGCAATCAGTTCGGTTTCCCTTCACTGGGCCTCAAAATAGCACATTGTAATTAACTCCATACTCGCCACCTGGTGGAAAACGCGCCGATATTTACCTGGCCATATATTCAGGTCACGCGGCCAATAATTGAGTCATCACTTCCACAGGTAAACAAAATAAACAAATTCACGTTTAACAAAAAATAATACCAACATAAAATATAAATGTAATCGTCATACATAAATAGAGAATATCACACCAAACACATAGAATTGATATGATATATTTCATTTCCTTGTTTATATAGGTAACAGAAATACAGGTCATCTCGGCACTTGGAGAGTTCGGCACTTACGGTTCGAGACAGCTCGGCACTTTTAAAAATTAAACTGGATTGAGAATTAAGTACCGACTTGTTTTCGAAAAGTGCCGAGTTCACCAAGTTCCGAAAATAAAAGTACCAAAAATATAAGTGCCGAAGTGGCCAAGTACCGACTTTACCAGGTGCCGATGCCAGGTATGATTCACGACCCCGACGTTATATGTAAGGAGGTTCTCGAAAGGATATCAGCCTCTCAATCATGTATTGGCTTAATAAAAACGGGTGTAATTTTGAGGACGTTACAGTTCAGAAAGTACCACGTTGACACCTTATATCTCCTTTTGAAATTATATACAAAGACAAAATAGTTTTAGACGTTAGCCTGGGGTGTCGATTTGTCTGATAATGCCTAAAAGTCAGGTAAGATCCGGTTACCTGTCACCCCTTCGAAAGCCCCTGTCACAATAAATATACACACCTGATTCATACCTGAGGCATGCGCAGTAGATTAAAGCGTCTTTTACCTTATCTAATTTGGGCGCCATTTTGAATATATACGAAGCGACAACACAGTATCCCTTTGTAGAGTTTTAAGAAGTTAAACGAGAAGAAGAGGATGGGATCTTAGTTAGGCAGACCAGACCTCTAAAATGTATTCGTTTATACATGTCATTCTGGTGGGATTTACCTTGACGCTGTACGCGTCATGGTGTGGAAGTGTATCACAATCGGGCGTTTTCAACTGGTTGGAAGAGGATCGATTCGATGAAATTATGGACAGAATGTCTTCGGTTACCGCCGATAACTGTAGATCTAAACCAAAGGAACAACTACGACTACCAAGTGAAACCGTTTCCCAGTTACCGCGTTCCAACATGCTACTCAGTACCGTGATATACTCGAATAGATCTCAACTTCTACATCTTCACAACATGGCTCTCAATCGAGCCTTTTTCTACAGCTTCATCTACCAGAGACAGAACAGGTCCGAAGATTTCATGAACCAGCCAGGTCTTCAATATCTATACATGGCCTCCACTGCCGACGTCACGGGGAACGAGGGCTTCATTAACGGTTCAGCTTTGTATTTTGACAATCATTGTAGTTACCCCCAATGGTACCTCTATAATGGCGTAGTTTTCAACAGCACGCTTCCCTTGTTTGGTCCTCGCGCGTGGAGAACGGACGACTATAACGAGCCAACGAATTGGTTACGAGAACCGACGAACAATACCGTGGACATTCACGATTATGGAGCTGGAACGATGAAAAATTACACGAGTGATGCTTACAAAGCAGCGCCTTGGTACTCGGTCTGGCTCCCAGACTATGACAAGAGTCAAGATTCTCTGAGAAAGTTCACTTATTTCGTAAACGTCAAGTTCTCCAACGCCACGGGACAGTTTACTCATAAGGAGTTCGAGGGAATCGATTTTTTCGGTCCTCCGCAGCCCGGACAGTCGGACAGGGGCGTATCCCTCCCCGTCGAATGGACACCTCCCTACTTCGACTGTGGTCGGTCCAACAGGTGGATAGTCAGTGCCCACTCGCCTGTAGTCGAATACATGCCAAGATACTCAAACTGGACCCATCTCCGAAGACCCAGGTAAATCATGGTCCGAGCACGTGTAAAATTTAAAGAGATTTTAAAGTAGTCCAAGTATGTTGGTCCACTCATCGAATTGGTCACATTCTCATTATAGAGTACCTTGTTCTATTCTTAATATACTTTGTAATTAAGGGCCGATTTTTTTATGTATTGTATCGCGATAACCTAGCATTACTGTAATGATCAACCGGTTTCTTGTTAAAGTTTACAGAGATAAATGTACCCCACAAATGTGACGGGACCTTTAAAAACGTTTACTTAACTACTGTACGTGGTCCACTGTGAAGTTATACTAAAATATATTAAAATAGTACAAAGAATTCCTAATTAGGCCTGTAACAGCGTTGATATGGCATTTACAGTCTAAATGAATGCCACAGCTTTGTTGGCAAATACAGGGGTTAATGCATTATGAGTTGTTGATCTTGTAACTACTGGCGTTTGTTTTGTAGGTTTGTGGCGGTCGTGACACAGGATATAGAGTTTGAGAGGATCGACTTCAATCCCTGCCCCAAGAGTGAAGGCAACCCCGACCCCAACTACTTCAAGAGCACTGCCCGGTGTAAACCTACCACCATGGTAAGAAGTATGACCTGACGCACCGTGGGCCTATTACATAAATGAGGGGAGTTTGGTAAGAATTAAACGTATCTGTCTAAGAACACAGCAACGTGCACGTCCATGGGCCACCTTATAGTCCCGGTAACAACAAATTAGTTCTAAAATCAACAATGAACCAATACATTTACATATTTCACATTTCAACAAATTGCATTGTTTAGAAAACAAATTGATTGGACAACAGGCAAGCCTATATAAGTCCTCTCCAAAGATTTACATATTGGTGATGTTAGGGCAAAACTTATTTGACGGTTTATATTAGACGTGTGGACATCAAGTTCCGTGTACATTCTTTGTATGTTAATTGTTAAGATCATACCTATGTAAACATACATTTGCTAAAACGTGATGTATTTTGCAATTTCAATGTTAAGGACACCTGAACAAGTAGACCTATGTAGTCGACTCAGTATAAATGTATATGCGTTACTTATAACGACCTATGGTAAGTGTATACCACTATAGTACAGAGCATATCACCTTAATGCTGACAACTTATATATGGGCCAATAATACAATTTAAGCCAACAAAGATCGATGTGGTCACGACTGCCCATGACTATATCTATAACTCTATAACATTCAGATGGTATTCATTTAGGCTATGAATGCCATGGATCAATTGTTGACGTCATCATTATTATGACGTCATAATGTTACGTTTGATTACCACTGACCCTCCCTGGAAAGATGGCAGTTGTAGTCATTGAACAAGCTTATACAATAAATACATTATGTTAGCATAATTTTAAATATTGATAAGTTTAATTGGAGTTTCTATGAGCTGAACATTTAAATAAAGAGGGAAATAGGTACTTATTAATTTAAACGGTTTTCAGTTGGCAACTTGGCATTCATAGGCATTATGAATGCCAACCGGAAAACAATCTCATCAACATGAATCGCTAGTGCACTTCAGTAAATTTGCCTTTGTCCAGTAGGCATTCATATTGCCTATGAATGCCAACTGAAAGCAGTTCGTTGCTTAAATGCGTTCAGGAACGCTAGAAGAACTGCTCTAGCTCTAGCTTTCTCCACATCCGCCGTTTACCAATTTCGATCAGGTGGCCCTTAACTTTCTTGTAATAGTGTACACGTATAGATCGTCTAGAAGATCAATAGATAAACAAATAGAAAACGTGTATAATGTTAGGGACATATTAAATAAACAATACGTGTTCGGTGTTGCATTGAAAATGATCGCATGCGATTTTTGGACCTACACATGTACGTTTGGACCACGTTGAACAAGCTACACGCGTGTGATGTTGGAGCCAAATTGAATAAATTACACGTGTAAGATGTTGGGACCACACTGAACAATTTACACGTGTAAGATGTTGGGACCACACTGTAAAACTTACACGTGTAAAATGTTGGGACCACCCTGTAAAACTTACACGTGTAAAATGTTGGGACCACCCTGTAAAACTTACACGTGTAAAATGTTGGGACCACCCTGTAAAACTTACACGTGTAAAATGTTGGGACCACCCTGTAAAACTTACACGTGTAAAATGTTGGGACCACCCTGTAAAACTTACACGTGTAAAATGTTGGGAACAACTTACACGTGCACAATGATTGGGGGGGGGGGTAGTCGCGTCGGCGTCCCACCTTCGGAGGCTCGAAGTTTTTGGGAAAGTTTTTTCCATACAGTGTGGGATCATCACACTCAATACACAGTTGTCTATTATGAGTTTAAGTCATTTATATCGAGTGTGGGCAATGTGCTGGACCCGGCATATCATATTTAATGGCCCCAAAACAGCTTAATTTGACTTGAGGATAAAGTTTTTAGTCACCTCTGGGGGAACCCCAGTGGGGACTATTAATTTCGGTTTCAGTCCCAGATTTTGACCTCTGTTGTCTTGACCTTGACCTCTGTTGTTACCAGGCGCTAATTACAAGCTCTTGGCTTACTCGGATATCGATTTCCTTTTTAAACAGGAATAGTATAAAACCTAAAGGCGTTCCAAATTTCCCACGGGAATTACATATAACCTAAAGATGTTCCGAGTATGATTTGGGCACCTTTGAGGTTCCCGAAGGGGTAAACTGTCGTATTATAAATTGCTATTGACTGATTTAGATATAAAATGTCTGACCAACGACTACCATTAATATTTGCGTATAGTGCGCCCTTTTTTTAAGGAACAATGAAGTGTCAAGAAAGGGTTGTACACGATACTCAAGAACAATCCAAAACCAGTCCTTGGTCGTGACCATTTTCCGTCAATTTTTCGAGGATTTTCGGAATTGTTTTGAAATATGCTCGCAGCAATAAAACTGCTAAATTTCGTTGAATAATCCATGATTGCATTGCCAATTTAACAATTACGAAAAGTTTAAGTCATATTATACGATAGAATCGGATAAATAAACCCGAGTAAAGTATGCCCAACTTTTCAGGACGTTACATTGTGAATTGATAAATACCACGTATCGGGAAACATAACGAAGAATTGCATCGCATTTATCACTCTGTGGTTAAAATGCCGTTCTTGGGTAAAGTCATGCTGAAAACTTCAACATTGACCGTAGGAATGTGTCAAAACTACATGGGTAAAGTGGCGAAGTTAGAAAGTTTGTGTACCGCAGAGTCAAGTTCGCGTGATATTGTTGACCAGCAGGAATTTACAAGGTGACATCCATGCGAATTGAATCGATAATGATAAAAGTTATTTTGAGTTTGATAAATAAATATTAAAACACCAAAATACATTCCGATCTTTTCTTTTCGAAGGAGAATTGCTGAAATCACAGCTGTTTGGTGTTCTTCATGTCTCGCAAATTCAGATGTTGGCTGATATTGATGACCGATTCAGTCGAATTTGCCGACGATCAGAAAACTACTTGGAAAAGTGTATTTCATAACAAACAAAAAGAAGATTTATCCGTAATATAAAATTGAATCTTTTCTGAAACTTATTGTTGTGAAAACAACATCGTTATATTCCAATTACCTGTTCTGCCCATGCCAGGTGACCGTGTCAGCGCGCAGATGTCCCCTTATTCCAGGTGTCACTCAACGCTAACGTTATATCTGTGAATGCTTTCTTATTCATTCCATGTGTTGGCATGGCTACCTGAACAGCATGTATGTATTTATACCTGGTCTTTGTTTACCATTTTGATTGACAGGTGGAAATATATTACGTTGTAGCTTGGTCAATGATTTATCGGAAAATGTTAGACAACCACCATCAATAGGCTGTTGTCTATTATAATGTTGAAGTATTTATATGGAGTGTTAGCAATGTTCTGGACAATATTTTCATATTTTAGGGGCCAAACATACCTTTATTGGACTTGATCAATATTACATAACTGATGAAATCACACTAAATGTCTACATCGATTCACATCATGTAGTAAATGCTTACACCATTTACTCAATAGCTCCACAACCAAATCAAAGCTATCTATACAATCCACATAAATAAATGCTCTATGTGACTTTTTACGGATTGATTGCTCAAAAATATAACTTTATTTCACTTGCATGTCTACATCTATAAAACACAGACTGTAACTTTCCTTTAACCCATATTTTATAGATGTATGGTTCACCAACGTTATCTACAATGACAATTGTTTTATTCTCATAAACAATACAGTGTAGGGAATACATATATACAAATGGGTGACAATAATACATGGTGAAACAGGATGAACATTAGTATTGTAAATTAATTATGTCATTAATATCGGTAATAAACTTAGCCAATGATGTCAATTCATGTTTTGTTACATTATTGAATAATGTATGATATAATACAACAAAACTTTTTCTCAAACGAACAATACAAGATTAGCAACCTACAAATGTACAACATATACAAAAAGGTGGAGATCCAAGTCTGCTCTTGGTTTGTTCAGTCGAGTTCAGCATACCCAAATTGATGGATTTCTATAAAATTTACCATTGCAGCATAACAGTGATACATTTAAAAGAACAGGTGACCAGACAACATAAAATGGGAAGACTCGACAACATGTGAAGTGATTTAAAATACCAAGTCTCCCCATTTCACGTCCTCTGGTCATCTGTTCTTTTTGAATGTACAACATGTTAAGGTACACTGCAAAGACATGTTGCCAATAAAAAAGGGTTTAACAATAAATTAAGGGAAACATAAAGGAATTCATCAGGAAAAGACAATGAACGGCCCTTGAAATATGCTGGTGGTAAGTAAGTAACTGACAGGCACTTTATCACATACCTATTGAATCTTGTTATAGTAATACAAGCAATTTTCAGACCATGAAATACAACGTTCTTTATTGCACATGGGAATCCCCTTGTCATGGCGAACTAAAAAGTTCCCGGTATTTGCAAAAAATATCAAAGTTCATAAAATCTTTGTATCGATCTCTACCAAATGCGGAAGGTGTGTGATAAATCTAACGAATTATAAAGCACTCATTTATTGCGTGGACGTATATATTCACTCGTGCGCTCCGCGCACCCGTGAATATATTCGTCCGCGCAACGTTTTACTATGCATGTGTTTCTATTGATAGTTGCAGTATTATAATAACATACATAGGCGAGCTATGCTTTTCTTCAACAGCTCTTGTTATAGTTCTTGGGTACACAGAACCCATGCACGCCTGTTTTATCGTCCTAGCTTCTTTGTTGTTGGATTAATTATTTTGACGTTGTTACTTAAGAATGATTGCATATCAAAAAACTTGCTGGCTGTCTATCTTTACACCACAGCGGACACGCAAATACTAAACTGTACTACAATTGTTGTTTTCAAGATTCATGGACAATTGAAAAGGGTATGCACGCTATTGACAATGTGTAATGTATAGGTACTACTTCGATGGTAAATCGACACAATTTTCATATTGGACAATTCCGGCGGTTGTACCATTGCCACGTGTTGGACAATGTGGTCTATAGCAAAGCGTTGGACCATGTGCCAAGTACCAATACATACCAGTGTTCCGTCTGGAGACTTTTTGGGCCGATTATGGCCCCATTCCTAATTAAAACTCTGGCATCTATATCGCACAGGGATACTCATAGGGTCCATTTACACAACCTGGACAACAAAGTATTCGGATGGTCCATGGTCACGCGTTGGCAATGCATATAATCAGGTTAGACTTATCGCCCTTTGAAATATATTCTACCCTATGATTAATTGAAAATTATCGAAGCAACAACCTGACGTAGTAACGGCGTTTGAAATTAGACGTAATGTTAAATCGTTAGAGTAAATTATATAGGGCGCTATATAAATGCTGTATTCCAATATCATTATCATCATCATTTTTCATTGTTTTTCCCTTCCCTCTTCGTCTCATTTTTACAATTTACAATTTTGTGAATGTAAAAAGAAACATTCAGTCGTTAATTAAAGATACAACATTTCGATTTCACCATAAATATGTAAATCTTGATTTTGACTGGTGTTATGGCCGTGTGTCCAGCAAGCCGGATTATGGCTGTTTTCATAGTGTTGCATGCGGTTTATGGACCTTGTTGATTACTATTAACAACCGATTCCGTGCCATTTCAGTATGACAGACGACCTCGGGGTTTATGATGAATGAGAGACCAACGTATTATCGACCCGACAGCTTTTGATTGGTCGCACCATGTCGGTACGCGGCAGGCAACGCCATTGTCCAACCAGAATCGACCGTAAATTATCGCTGTATAGTCACAGATCTATAATTAATGAACTGAAGACAAAGCGAACACTAATAAATACAACAGTACCCAACGGCTTCATTGCCAGTCGATATAAATGCCCATGCGTAATAGTGCAAATAACCTCGACAACTATTAGGATTATCCGGAATTAATTTGGGATGATTTACGCATGTACTGTGATGTAGCTGGCCAACGTCTGGCGTTACCTCCTGTTGATATGGATAGTATAAGTCTTCGAGGGTTTGTACATTATCCTTCGACATTAGACTAGTAACGATGTGCATTCAAATGTATGGAGGAAAATTGTTGTCGCCATGGCAACCAGATGCGTAACAATGCCGCTTGACCATTTCCAACACTCCCATTAGCCTTAATGTATATCAATATTAGGGTGCTTGTGGTGTTGGCTGACACGAACATGTTTTGTCAACAGAGCTAAGGTATTCTTTAAAGGTACGTACGTTTTAAAGTTCCGTTTACTGATACGGTCTATTTTACTTTGTATCATGCTCATAAATATGAAAATAAATCGAGGAGATTCTAATTTCGGAATGTTGTTTTAAAGGATTGTGTCACACTTTTTAGATGTCGTACTGTGTTTAACTTGCAAACGTGTCAAATGCACGCGCCAATAACGCATTGCCCAGTTATGACATTAACTAGGAACCCAATTGTATACTGTAGAAGTACTACTTATAGTTTCGTTCTTGCATGTGTTTTTATCGTATCGGTGCATATTGCATTGTGATATCACTCATAGGTAAATATGGATTTTTAGTTGATTTACTTGATATTCCCATCAATACAAACGAACAGTCTAAGTGAAATTAAGTTACATAAAACTTTCAAAACACTAAATATACACAAAAAAAGCAATGAGTCATTTCGGGAAATTGTATAGTCTTTGTTAATTATCACTTTTAAATTTCTTTAGAGGATTTATTTTACGTCATCGTTGAATTATCCCTTCTTTATAATGTCAGGTTTATTTTAATTTGGACAATGAGTTAGATCATAAAAAGCAGAACATGTTTAAATAATTTCTATTCAGCTGTTGATTATGAAATTAATATATAAAACCGCAATTGGATCGGAAACAGATAGATCTGCGTCTTTAAAAAGACTGTAATATTTGACTAGGGTGATGTAAATGAATGTTTAATTTGAATTGGTTAATATCGGAGTGTTGCGCAATCGATTTTAATCATATTTCTGATTTCCCTCCTTTGGGCCCCAGTAAAACTGCCTAGCTGTATAAACGTTTAGGTGACTATGATTATAAATTCGTGACGACGCTGATCACCCGCCAAATGCAGCGTGGTCGATACGGTGAAGGTGAGCTAACCTGTTAAATACGAGTGGTGTAAAGGAAATTTAAATTTCTTATTGTTCAAATTTACAAAACCAAACGACGTCGTTTGTTTATCAAGCATTCGATTATACCGACAACATGTGTAAATTTTCCAGCATGTCTCATTTCCGTACAGTAGTGGGTACATGAAACCTTGTGTTTATGGAGAACACTGAACAGGATGTTCGGGCGCCCGCATTTCACGGCTGGTTTCTGTCACTTTTTGATATGTTTGATGTTTCTCATGGTATTATATTAGCTTATAAATGTGTGTACAGCTACAGAGATGTGTATTTTTGGTGTATCCGCCGTTGATACAAGGAACATGCCTGTTTATGCTTCACGACTGCATTGGGTGTGGCTGTAGGTTTCATTATAACGTTAGTTGGGATGGGATTCCCTGAAACGGGATTGGTTGCTGAATACGCAATTCTATGTTTGTTAATTGCGCTCCATCCACTTTGAAACACTTAAAAAGTTTCGTCTTTGAAAGAAAAGATTGCAACATTTTGCGAGATGTTTGCAGTCGACTACTGAGCTATAGGTAGGGAGTACTGTAGCAGTAATATCCATTAGACTCATAACAAGTTGACAACCGGGATTCAGCTGGACTGCAACTGAGTGATTTGATCAAAAAGCTGTTAATCATTTACTGAATGTACAGGCTATATTAATGGATTGATATGATCAAATAAATCGATGTTTATTAAAAAGTTGGAAACAGAAAGAACCTGGCAGCCAATCGGTTAGTATTGTTTTCAGGTGTTGTTTAAATGAGGAAAATCTATTATCAGGTTGTTTTTTTAACAGGACTCGGCTGTTTCAGACCATTCAAAATCAACTTGCATCACATTTATGCCTTTAAAGATTAAAATGACACTACCCATTTTGTATTTTTCAGTGTGAACCACTGAATGGCTATGGATTCCGACGAGGCGGTTACCAGTGCGTATGTCAACCTGGCTACTACTTCCCTTGGTGGCACGGTGGGCCATTCTTGGGAGACGAGATTGAGATTGCGACAGAAGACGAGTACCAGAGCAACTTTGATTGCCTCTCTGTGCAAGGTAAGAATAATTTCTGTATTGCTCAAACATGTTGGGCATAACAGCACAACACAATGAGATCTATATTTGTACACAAAGAGTTACAATTCTGGTGTCTAAATATTTCTTAAATTGACAAACTATGATCACTTGCTTTGTTCTCCATTGAATACAGTGTGTAGTCCTTGGGGTCATTAAGTGCAAATGTGACAAGTATGCATGGAATTTATGTTCTATTTATGGCTTTCTTACACCTCGCTTTAAGCAGTGGAGGTGATGCAGTTTGTCATTTTTAGCTCACCTGGCACAAAGTGACAGTTAAGCTTGTGGTATGGTGTTGTCCGTCAACTTTTTCTTTGAAGGACTTGTTAAGAAATGGATGACCTAGGGCCATGATATTTGTTGATAAGGTACCTGGGACAGAGAGCTATAAAGTTTACTCAAATAAATGACCTTGACCTACTTTAAAGGTCACTGGGGTTAAATATGTAAAAACCTTTAAACAACTTTTGCCCAGGGTGATGATGTTTGGCCACCCCCCCTGCTGGAGTAGAGTAGTGTAAAGGTTATGGAACGTTCTTAAGCCAAGGAGACTCAATATATGGATATATTTGCAAAAGGACTTTTATTGAGAATATTTTCCCATGACTGCTCAAATATCCATTTGAGCGATACAGGCCCTCTGCTTCTCGTTACAAAAAGTTAGACATCTAAATCACTCCAATTTTTAGTATCAAACGGGTTTTGTTCCTTATATTTATAAGATCATTTGTGTTGCTAATTCATTTGTTTCCCCATTTCAGTAATAAAATTGGTTCTGTAAATGGGTAACTGACTAACTGATCTAGATGCAGGATTATTACTGATATGTGCCGTTTTGCCAAACCTTTTAAATGTCTGTTTTAGGCAATTACTATGTTAAAATGAGTGATGCTAACTCTGTGTGAATTATTGCCCAAGAAATTATTGTATATTTTTTGGATCTCTGCATGGAGTTGCATTTAACTTCACACATTTGTAGTTCTTGCTTGGTTGTGTATTTTATCACAAAGACACACGGGGAGAGAATGATTGTGAATATTTGATATAAAAGAGGATGATTGAATACTAGAAACATAATCACAATTTTATTTGGGTATTGTATATTCATCAAAACATTTTTTTGCGATATTAAATCCCTTGACAAATTATTATACTTCTAATTTCTTAATGTCAAATTGTACAATGAAATATTTAAAGAGTCAATGTTTTGTACTTCCAAATTTATACATAATTGCAGTTTAAGGTATGAATTTGAAGAGACCAGAAAATATGTTTTTTTTTTTTATAATTGCAGAGCTAATGGTGATACCAAATGAAATGCCTATCTTTGTGCAGAGGAGAAGGAAGAGATCAACATTAATAGCCAAGAAATCCACCCTCTTTAAAATGATTACCTCGGGTCAGAGTCCTAGAGCCAAGTTAGTGGCCAGAAGATCTGTTCCTAAGGAGAAAATGAAAGAAAAGCTCAGAAATCGTAGACACATTCCACGTTATCAAGGAGAGAGTAAAAAAATTCGGAACAAGCGCGATCTGTATGATGCTGAAAAGAGAGTCAAAATGGAAAAGATTTTGACAAGAAAGGCTCAAACCAATGCTGCCAACTGTAAAACCAAAATGCCTTATGAACTATTACTCCCTGGAGATGTTGCGTATGGTGTAGAGAAACAGTTTGAGGCTCAAGGACGTACTGCTCTTCGTTTGGCCCACTTTCTCTCCGACTTCTTGCAGAATGTGGATGAATACGAGAATTTTGGTAGCATGACCGGTGACCGACGTCTCAACGAAACACACTTGTTCGGAGAGGTAATTGCCAATGTCATGGCTGACTTTAAAATCCTTGGTAGTGGAGTGTTCTTTGAGCGATACAAGTTCCGCATGTCTCCGCCAATAAATAATACTGATCCACGCTACACCAACGGGATCGTGAGAGAGTTCTTTGGTCCATATTCATGGAGGAAACAAACTGTAACAGGAGATGGTATGGACGAGTTCAATGCTGTGGACTCGGCAGGATACTCTAAATACTACACTGACGAAATATGGTACAGAACTGTTAAGGCAAGATGGCAGACCAACTTTCACAGTCTTGTGAAGTATACCGCAAAACCCATGGTGAGGTCCGATGTTAACGGCACTAGTCTTGTCAGGTTTGAGTACTACCCCATCCAGTACTATGCTCCCAAGTATGAGCATGGAGAATGGCTGAGACCCGAATTCAAATGTGATGATCGCATCATGGACTGGGTGGTTACCTACGTGGTTCCTTTCTTTGGATTTAATGAGCTGAAAACGATGCTTGAATTCAAGTAAGTCTTTTTCTCTTGTCAATTTGAAAATGCTGAAGCAAATCTGAAAATGTCAATGGACAAATTTGAAAATATTACTGCAAAATCATAATATTTCATTGGGGATTTAATTTCGTTTATTTTCGTGTTTTTATTTAAACCACGAAATATAATCCCAACGAAATTTAAGCACACGAAATATAAAGAAACGAAAATATGAAATAAACTATGAATTTGATTACAAATCCCTGCTGTATTTACATATAGACACAAGTCATGATAAACAATGTAATTATCATCACAGACACGAGAGTTAAACACTTAAAACAATAGCGTGTCAATCAAGCGTCATAATTGTAACCCAGTTACATCGCTCTTAATATATGTAAATTATAGAGCATGATTGATTCGACTGATACCCATCGAGTGAGTTTATCTTGCCGGGTCTTGCCTGTACCTCGCAAGTCGTGCTGTGAAATAAACTTTTACAGAAACTAACAAAAAATCCACTAAATATTCCCTTTTTAATAATAATAAAATATTCTATTCAACGAAAACGGTTTGGAATGTAAATAAAGCGGTCGTTGTCAGTAGTTTACAACAATAACGTTGGATTTGGATCGATTTCCGGCACCATGCTGTCAGGACGGCATGCCCTGATTTTGACACTTTTTCAACAGAGACATGGGGAAATAAACTACTAATGCAATAGAGAAATTATTGCTTAAATGAAAAGACAACATAAAAGGTTGTGTTTTGGTGACCTTTGATATGCTCCCAGGTGTTAATATAAAAATAATATAGACAAGTGTTTTCAATTCCAAGATTTTTTAGGACATCAAACTGATAAGCTAGAGTAAAATAAAAGATCACTAGATGATGGCTGTTTTGTAGTGTCCGATTCTTAATCTAGAACAGCAAAAAAGTAACCAATTTGATTTTAATTTGAAAGAATATAAAAAATCAAAGGAAGATCGTTGGAAAAATTGTGATTGGTTGGTTTGCTTGTCCTGTATCAAATATGAAGTTATTAAATCAATTTTGTTTTGCAGAGGAGTAGTAAAAGTTGATGTCAAGCTTGATTATCTGGACATAAACCAGTGTCCTCAAGACTTCTATGTAGCCAATGCCTTCAAAAACACTGGAAAGTGTGACTTCAAATCTACCAATGTAAGTAATTCGTCACACACGTTAATTTCTATTTTTTATGATTTACCAAATGATCCCCCAGATTTAATGTAGCAACAATATTTATTTTTTATTTTTTCATGTTGCCATTAAAAGCCTATATCATATTGTCAAAATATAACACACATTAGTGTTTTAGGTTTAGCTTGGGTTCACCCTTTATTCAGGAACATTCTTCTAGTAGCCTAATTATGCCCGGTACAAGGTACTTGTGTTGAGTATTCTCGTCAAGAATATTGTGTTAAGCTGAATGGATATATTGGTTGTGAAGAACAAATTATGCGAGTGTGAAAGACACTGAAAATAAATGTTACTGGTTTAGTGACTGTTTCTCTAAGTGAGTCTGTTTTCTCCAGTTTATGTATGTGGTCATCTTCTATTGGTTGTGCTGATGTTAATCGTCGCCGATATCGGGAATATTTACATTTGTTGTGTACAAATTTTATGGGGGAATTGCATGATTTGTAGCAGTCGTCCTATAGAGTATCAAACAAATTGTTGGTCACTTAGTTTGATATTGGATCACTTGGAATTGGAGCTTTCTTGCCAATGCTGTGAAAGAGTTTAAGTGGGATCTGAAACTAAATTTCTGGTCAGTCGTCCTTGGCACTGGCGGAATACTCACCTTAAATCGCTTGTGAGTATTCTCTGGTGGCAAAGATGAATACCAGGGAATTCCTCAAGACGGCATCGAGATGGAGGTGTTCTAGTGGATTTTGCCTTGGTATCTAGGAAAGAAAGCGTATATTTTGGATGGAGATTTCAGTTTATCAAATAGCTGAGGTTAAAATTATTTCTGGATTGGTTTCTTTTTTGATGTCCTGTACTTATGTTATTTAGTGGTTTTTGTAAATATTTATGGTGTGTTGTGCTGCAAATTTCTTCCTGGAGACTGAACAAACTTTGATCATAGTACAAGGAAACTGTTCAGAGGTAAAGATACAAAGGAGTTTTCACTTTTAAGTTATTTGCATTAGATATTATATTAAATGATTGTCAATTTAGAAAATACTTTCAGTACTGGATATGCAGTCATTTTACAATATCTTTGTAGTGCATAGCCCTTCCTGGGAAGAGATTCCAAACGGGCTCCTACAAATGTGAATGTCGTCAAGGATACGAGTATCCATTCAATGACCTTGCATGGTTCTACGATGGTCAAACTATGGAGGAAGAGTATTCAAAGAAATTAAGGGGAGAACCTAACAGGTAAGCTTTTAGTTTTGGTCAGCACAAAATAGAAAAATTTGAAATCTGTATTAAGCCTTCTGATGAAATAACTCGGACCTATTGCCATGTTTTTATTTTTAAAAAGTCTCTGCGATCAATTTGGTTTGATGTGTTCACATGTAAAAGTGAATTAAACTTATGATGAATGAAAACTTCCAACGTTAGCAGGGATTTGTTCCCAATGAAGATGATTGTATATTGACTGTTAATATAAATGGAGCCTAGATTTAAGAATTTTTGACTGTTTGTTATTCCCACATCTATCATATAGGGCTTAAGTTATTAACTGTGAAGACTTGGTGTTTCCGAGTTAAAGCAGGAAAATAATTTGTACTGTTTCCTTGAAAAAAACATTGAAAACAAAAATTATATTTTGTAAGCAGGTTTTACCGTTTAAAACAACCTTAACCTGCTATACAAGGTTATAAAACTGTTTATCTTTAGACAGATGGTCAGTTTCTTATTTCTTGGGTGATGTTGTTTGGTTTACAATACAAAAAATCTGGGGACATTTTTGGTTGATTCATGGGCCCCATTTCGGAATCAATTGAAACTATTTCATATCCCTAAATTTTGAAGTTTATCCTGAAAATTTCCTTCCCAATTGGTAAATTTTCTTCCCAAAATGAGAGAAAAAAGGCCCCATTAAAAATTAACAAAAAATTATCCTGGTTTAGGAGTCACTTTGATTTACTCTACAGTGTTGGTCAAAAACCATACTTGTAAATATAGTGTAGTGTTTAAAAAAAAACCCAACAATAATGTATTGCAAGACTTTTTCTACTGAGTAATAAATTTTTGAATAGCGTGCTTATTTCAGACAAACTGTACTATATTTTTCTCAATATACAGAAATATGTTTACTTTCTCTCCATTAAACTAGTCCAACGCAGTATTTTTGTTACCTAAATTTTACAACAGCCTGTTCCTTTATGAATTTGGGAAATAAATTATTATTTGTATTGAATTTGGGAATATATTCAATAGTTTTTGGTCATTTTGGGAAAATCAGGCACTTTTTAGCTAGGGGAAACAGCCTGTACTTGGCAGTAAAACTGAGCAAAAAAAGTCACTAACGGGACATTTGCTGTATACAATGTATATTTACCTTCTCTCAGCTCACCCTTTCACCACTAAACCATAATGAACTCATCCAGATCAAAGCATGGAAGAGTTTACTTAAGTTACATAGGGGTGAAAGGGTTTAACTAGTCTAACGGGACACCATTTGCTGTCTGTTTGATACCGGTATACATTTTGCACCCCTTCTTGGTTTACAGGTATGGTACCCTGAAGTGCCGTATAGCTGGTGCTGCATCCATTGTTGCCAACTGGGCCTTGGTTACGGCATCTCTGCTCGCCTTCCTCTTCCTACAACGGCGATAGATGCTGATGGTGCAATATAACAAGCTGCATGGAATAAAATTCCTTTAAGTATATGAGTAATTCAGATCTATGTAAATGAATCTTTTGAAAAATACAATTTACAATACATCTATGCAGATAAAGTTCTAAGCTTAAACATGTACATACCAGGAACTGTACCAAATCGATATAACATTTCGTGTGAAAAAATAGAATTTCTAAATACTCAAAAGTTAGTAAAAGAAGTAAGTGTGTGATTGTATGTGTGAGCTATGGATCCTTTTCCATTGAGTCAAGTATATCTTTATACTAAAGAAGACAGATCTACTATGCAAATGTGATATTTTTAATGAAAATGTACATAGTCAAATTGTTAATTCTTGTATATTTTGTGTCACAGTACTGGTTCAATGTATGTTAACCCTTTCACCCCTATGTAACTTAAGTAAACTCTTCCATGCTTTGATCTGGTGGAGTCCATTACGGTCTACAGTGGTGAAAGGGTTAACCTGAAATCGTAGCTCAAAGCAACAATTCTTTTGACTTTTTTCATGATTTTTACCTTTCATTTCATTCTACTGTACTTTTTTATATCCTTTAAACAGTTCCATGGGAAATATAATTCAATACAATTGATTAATTTCTAAAACATTCAGAATGAAAAAAAGTGTAGATATTTTTATTGGCTGTTTGAATGATCACATGCAAATCTTTTAGATATTAGCTTTTTTCTTACAAACAAAGATGCTATATTTAAGCAGGTTCACTGTTCTGCATAAGAATGTGTTGTGATGTATGGAGAGGAGAGTCTTCAAGTTTGGTGTGAATGTTGAGGAGTGATGAACAAATGAAAATGTGAGACATAGACTGGTTATAATTACAATTTATATGTATATAAAGTAAATAATTTCATTGCAAATAACATAATCATTTAATGAGTGCTGAAAAAAGATTGATTATTGAGGATAACATGTATGTGTGTAAATATTAGTCTTTCAAAGTTCATACCTGCCCTTAACATATATGTCCTTATTCTTTGAGTGATCTACCTGGGAATTAATCTGAAAATACCATAATTGAAATATAAATAATTTGTTTGTTGTTTCAATAAGTATTTTCCTATCAAATTAAGTCATTTCTTTGTCTCTTATCTGTTCTTGCCATTTTTTAATGATTGTCTGTATCATAAAAAAGTGACCTTGTCTGAAGTACGAAAGATGTGCCATATTTCACACATTTTTACATACGTAATCAAGAATTATTTGGAGATTTTCTCAAACTTTACAGTGGATAGTAAATATATCGTAAACCGGTATCTAAAATAACGCATCAGCTTATAAATGTAGGGCTAGTCATTTTACATCTAACATTGTATATAATGTGCACATCTAATTTACATTGATGTATATATATCATGCCTTTTTTTCTACAACAAATCATTAATATTTTATCATTCAAGTCTTTGAATGAGGATTATTTTTTATCAAATGATTTTAATAAAAAATAATTGTCAGCATTTTTTTGTCGGGTTATTATTTCCTTGTATGCAAAACTGATGACATGGATAAAAAATAACAAGTTATCCCCCTTTGCAGTGTTCAATCATGTTTTGTAATATTTTATACATCAAATGGGAATTGTTGGAAAACTGACTTGTATGGCTACAAATAATGTTGAAATGAGTTTTATTCAATTTTTGTCCACACAGGGTTTCCAAAGTTGAACGGCTTGGGAGTACTTCTGAACAAGATTGAAGAAAAAAACGTTCTGGTATCCAGGCCAGGCACAAAGTCTTTGTGGCTTAAAAAGTCCTGATCTTCAATTTTCATAGCCGAATCGTCTGAAATTATTTCTTTTGGCAGCAGATGATTTAAATGCCTAGAGTAACAATACGACATTTTGATATAACAATGGTTATGATAGACAGGGTTTGAACAAACTAGAACCAGATGTTCGAAAGAATGTGGTGTCGCTGAACATCACAAATTAAACAGTTAGGCAATTCTGAAAACATTATCATGGCTCTTTCGTTTCCGTTACATCATTCATTGGGTGTGTTTGTATCCGAAAAATTCATTGGCAATTTAACTTTAACAGTCAGCTGGGTTTTGATATTTAGTTATTTTTTAAATTTTAAGAGCTATGAAGTGGTGATAATGAAAGTTACAACTTTGACAAAGGACCTTTTCATATATATAGACTATACCAGTCTGGCGAATAAGATTTTTGAAATTGTCAATTTTCCATTTCGGGCCCCGCACTGCCTGCCCCTTGGGGTTGAGGTAGTATTCCCAATTTTACAATTTGATAACCTTTCCCTTAAGGATGATTTCTTCTCTTCAAGTTTGTTTTGTGCTATCATTTTTGACGATTATACCAAGGTTGTTTGGTGGAATACGTTTAATAGTACAGTAATCTTTTTTTATTGTAAAAGTGTGTACAATGTAGGTGTATTTATGATACGGATGCAAGGACTTCGAGGGTTGTGTATGAGATATGGGCCTTGAAGTCCTCTAGAGCTGTGCTTTTTGTACTGCTAATACCGGAAGGTCATTGCACTTTGTGATGATATGATGAAAAATTTAGAATTGGTATGCATCCTTGGTAGCAGAAATGTGTCTGTTGATGTCTTGTTTTGGGGTGTTGGTTTGCACATGTCACTGGTGTCAGATGCTACATGATGGATGGTGTGTGATTTTGTAGAAGATTTATAATAAGTTTGAATGAAAGCTAAGAAGTCAACAAATCTTGATGCAGAACGCACGACGCCAGAAGAAAAGTGATCAGACGAGGGCTAAGACGACAAACAATGTTACGCAGAATAAATTGTCGGTATAACATTCAGAATTGCTGACAGGAAGGTTTAGCGGATTGAAAAATGTTTGTATCTAACGCGGAACCATGAGATATCGATAGGTAATTGTATCTAAAGCGGAACCATGAGATATCGATAGATAATTGTATCTAAAGCGGAACCCTGGGATATCGAAAGATATTTGTATCTAAAGCGGAACCCTGGGATAACGAAAGATGATTGTATCTAAAGCGGAACCCTTGGAATTTAATGATGATTGCGATCGGAGGAAATGTGCAGGCGAGCAGGATTCTATTTTTCAACGACAAAAGCTTAGGATTTTAAGAGGCATTATTGTTCATATATTTATTTGCTTTACATACAGCTGTAAGGGACTCATTACCAGTAGGTTAAGTGTCTTTCGAAATGTGCCTAAAAGATGCATAGAAGGCGAGCATGGTTACTTCCAAAATTTTGACAATCAGAAAATGCACCCAAAAACTAGAGAAGTCTGTAAGTACACACAAAGAAGCTAAAATAGATGGAGTGTATCATTATTTAAATTATTGATGTTCAGTACAAGTGCAGTTGTATCTATATATAGACGGTTAACAACTCAGCGGTATCTATGGACGGAAAACAGACGGTACCACTGCAAGTTACACAACAGGACCGTTTTCGTTTATCGCGATCCAAACATTTGAACCGATGGGACCAGAGCTGTTCATTTATATATAAATGAAATAAGGTCTGACCTAGTAATCTGATGCTGCTTTCAAATGAGCCTTGACAAAGCTTTGCAAGGCCTGAATTAACATGTAAAGGTCCGCCAGGATTTATACTCGAAAATGCGAGAGGTTTTGTCGGTATACACAAACCGGCGTTATGTGTATATAGCCGTGTTACAGTACAGCTGTATCTAGATTCGAGTCATATAACTTGTTCACCCTTGCCAGTCTAATGTCACCAGACAGAATACTATGCTGGGTGCATTGGGTATGGTTATTTCAGTGAGGTAGCACTCTGAAGTCGACATCAGATCTGTGCTATCACTAGGGGCAAATACACCATCATACTGCCTCCAACACAAACACACCCATGCAAGTATACACACGGATGCACATCCTTATATGATCTCAGCTTTTAATAGGATAACAAATTAAAACCGAAACAAAATCAAATACAGCAATATTTAGACAATTATCTGACTGCCTGTACAAAGCAGATGTATCTATAGACAAGAAACAACGCTGAACTTTGGATGGATCATTTTAGCTTAGTTGCATGAAGGTTAATTTCGAACTTCTGATATTTCCTACCCTGTAAATCTTTAGACCTAAAAAAAAGACGAACACTGTTGATAACGAAGCTTCATAACGCCATCATAGGGAAAACAAGAGGCCCAGAGAGCCTGTATTGCTCACCTGAATATTTAAGCAGTCATGGCAAAATATTCTCATTGAATATTATATTGCACTACAAATGTTTCCCTCACAAACTTTGTCTGCTCCATCTGTTGAAACTACCAGCCAAATATTATTATAAGATTCTATGCTTTTTGGTTCTTCTTCAGAAGTTACTTGACATATTTTCCCCTGAGACCTTGTAAGTAGGTCAATGTCATTTTCCTTCTCATACCTTGTTTGCTCTATCCCAAAAGGCTACCAGCCAAATCTTATGAATCCATTCCTTTTGGTTATTTAGAACAGATCCTTTAAAATGTTGTTGACCACAGTGACCTTTAAGGTAAGTTGAGGTCATTTTAATTCGTAAACTTTGGTGAACTCTATCCAAGGAAGCCACCAACCAAATCCATTTTATGCCTTCGATTATTCATAAGAAGTCGTTTGATGTTTTCGACATATTTGAGACCTGTGACCTTGAAAGAAGGTCACCGTCAAGGTCATTTTCATTCTCAAACTTTGTCGAGCTCAATCCCATGAAGCCACCAGCCAAATATGAAGATTCTATACCTTTTAGTTCTTTAGAAGAAGTCGTTTGAAGTGTTTGACACATTTGACCCCTGTGACCTTGAAAGTAGGTCAAGGTCATTTTCATTCTTAACTTTGTCGGGCTCTATCTCATGAAGCCAACAGTCAAATATGAAGATTCTATACCTTTTAGTTCTTCAGAAGAAGTCGTTGAAAGATTTTGACATATTTGACGGCTGTGACCTTGAAAAGTAGGTCAAAGTCATTTTCATTCTCAAACTTTGTCGGGGTCCATCCAAGGAAGGCACCAGCCACAAGATTCTATACTTTTTAATTCTACAGAAGAAGTCGTTTGAAGGTTTTAGGGCAAGTGAGCTTATGTCCTGGTGCGGCGTCCGTCGTTCGTCGTCCGTCCGTCGTCGTCCGTCAACTTTTCCTTTAAACAACTTCTTCTGAAGAACGGACAGGCCTAGAGTCATTATATTTGGCTGAAAGCTTTGTTGTTGGGGCCCGACAAAGTTTGAGAATTAAAATGACATTGACGTACTTTCAAGGTCACAGCCTTCAAATATGTCAAACACTTCAAACGACTTCTTTTGAAGAAATGAAAGCTATAGAATCTTTATATTTGGCTGGTGGCTTCCTGGGATAGAGCCCAACAAAGTTTGAAAACGAAAATGACCTTGACCTTCTTTCAAGGTCACAAGAGTCAGATATGTCTAATGCTTAAAACCACTTTTGAAGAACTGAAGGTTATAGAACCTACATTTTTAGCTGGTAGCTTCCTGGAAAAGACCCCAACAAAGTTGGGAATGAAAATGACCTTGACCTACTTTTAAGGTCACATGAGGCAGATATGTGAAATACTTCAAACGACTTCTTCTGAAGAACTGGAGGGTATAGAACCTTAATATTTAGTTGGTTATTTCCTGGAAAAGAGCCCAAAAAGGTTTGCGAATGAAAATGACCTTGACCTACTTTCAAGATCACAGGAGTCAGATATGTCTATTGCTTAGAGCAACTTCTTCTGAAGAACTCGAAGGTATAAAACCTTAATATTTGGCTGGTTATTTCCTGGGAAAAGTTTGCGAATGAAATTGACCTCGACTTAANCCCATGAAGCCACCAGCCAAATATGAAGATTCTATACCTTTTAGTTCTTTAGAAGAAGTCGTTTGAAGTGTTTGACACATTTGACCCCTGTGACCTTGAAAGTAGGTCAAGGTCATTTTCATTCTTAACTTTGTCGGGCTCTATCTCATGAAGCCAACAGTCAAATATGAAGATTCTATACCTTTTAGTTCTTCAGAAGAAGTCGTTGAAAGATTTTGACATATTTGACGGCTGTGACCTTGAAAAGTAGGTCAAAGTCATT